CTTTTTTTCTCTGGATTGTTTTCAGGGTTTTTTCTCTCTCTCTGGTTTTAAGCAATTTGATTATGATGTGCTTTTAAAATTTATGATGATGTTTCCTGTGATTGTGCTTCCTAGAACTTCTTGGATCAACAGATTTATAGTTTTCATCAAGTTTGGAAATTTCTCAGTCATTAGTTCCTGAAAATTGTTTTCTGTCCTTTGCCCTCTACAGGGACTGTGGTTACCTGTGTATTAGACCACTTACAATAGTCTCATAGTTCACGGATATTTTTTTCATTTTTGTGTGTGTCACATTGCAAGTGCTCAACAGCCACATGTGACTACTGGCTATCATATTTGACCCCAAAGACATAGAACACTTCTGTCATGTGGACACCTCCTTTGGCTAGCACTGCTCCTTTAAGAGATAACCAGGACTAATCCTATCATTCCTTAAGTCTGTTTACTTTGGACACCATGAGAAATCCAAGCCTCCCATGGCATCTCTCATCACCTAGATTCTCATCCCCACCTGACTGTTATCTGGGGGACTTTTATAAGCTGACTTGATCTTCCCCTCCTACTCTCAAAATTACTTTCTCCCTTGGAACTCCTGTCAGTGATCAATAAAACCCCCGATGTTTTCAGCCTCTTGTGTGAGAGTTTCCTTCATCCTCTTGCTCTCTTCCTCTGAGATGGCTGTCCTCTGAAGATACTGTTTCTCTTTGTACTTTCTCAAGTATTGGCTGTTTCTTCTTCCTTAGGCCATAGTACTACTGACCCAGAGGTGGGGTAAATAGCCTCTCATTTGTTTCCAGACTACTAGAAAAACCTAGTTTGAAACACAAGCCATTGTGTTAGCCCTGCTACCCCACCCTTGAAGTCATCTACTGTCCTCCTGGTCACCTGCCCCTTACCAGCCACTCCACTTCCTGGCCATTCATTGAAAATTTTAACATATCGGGCGCCTGGGTGGCTCAGTTGGTTAAGCGACTGCCTTCGGCTCAGGTCATGATCCTGGAGTCCCTGGATCGAGTCCCGCATCGGGCTCCCCGCTCAGCGGGGAGTCTGCTTCTCCCTCTGACCCTCCCCCCTCTCATGTGCTCTCTCTCTCTCATTCTCTCTGTCTCAAATAAATAAATAAAATCTTTAAAAAAAAAAAAAGAAAAAGAAAATTTTAACATATCACTTACTTACTATCTTATCTCTTCACCACTCCTGCCATCATTCTTGGTGACTTTAATATCTACTTATTAGACTGAAGCATATGAAGTTGCAGTTTTCATAGGTTCAACCTAGGGTGTGGTCTGTCCAGTACGCTGGCCTCTCAGTTCCTTGACCTTTTGGCTATTAACTCCCGTGGATCATACCATCTCAGCCTTTCTCAAGTGGGGTTCTGAGAGAGAAGTAGGCCTAATGCCAAAGACAGCCACTGTATGTATGTAATGAATTAACCTCTGTCCTTTGCATCTCGAATGGTACCAGTTATGTACCATCCTTCGGAGAAGTAAGAAACTGCCAATTCATTTTCTGTGTTCTCAGGTTCCAATGAAGAATCCTGGTTCCTCAACCTTGGTTCTGGTTGAGCCTTTCAATAATAATTGTGCCACTTCCAAGATCTCATTTGATCATAATGATCAAGCTATCATTATGATCCAAGTAAACATTAGACCCTGCCTGGAATACTGCAAGTGCCTCCTGTTCACTTCTACTTTTGCTCCTCGCTCTCTACAAACTATATTTCACACAGCCAGAGTTGGATTACATCACTCCCTTGCTCTCAACCATTCTATGGCATTTCATCATATTTAGAATAAAGTGCAAAAACCCAGATGATCTGATCACTGATCTGATCTCATTTTCTCATATTGTCCCACTCTCTGATCACCACCCCCATCTTTTCCAACTCACTCCCTCTAATATCCTAATTCCAACAATCCTTCAGCCCCACTGGGATGTCTAAATCTAGACTATCACCTTTTCATTGTCCATTACTCTGCCATGGCCTCACTTCTTACCTAACTTAGATTTCACCGTTATCATATTAACAATTCCCTTGAATATTCTCAACTCATTTCTAATTTCTATTGTACTCCCTGGCAAAACCCAATTTTGGTTAGATCCAACCTTCTACCTATTTATTACGTGTCCTTACAAGCAACACAACAATGCTGACTGGGCTCACAGTATATTTAAGACCACAAACCTCAAGTGGCCCCTCAGTATTGCCCAACAATCATCATGTTTCCATAGTCAGTTTATTCTACTCTCCCAGAGACTATTTTATTTCTCCTCTGCTATCCTTAAACCTCCAGTATCCACCCTGACTCTGGAGTCACCATTTTTGTTTTGATACAATTTTATTGAGATATGATTCACATATTACATAATTCACTAACTTAAAGTATAATTCAATGGTTTTTAGTATATTCATAGTTGTGCAACTATCACCACTATCATTTTTATAGCATTTTCAATAACTGAAAAAGAAACCTGTTCCCATTAGCAGTCACTCTCCATTTCCCTGCTAACCTCCAGCTCTAGGCAAACCACTGATCTACTTCCATCTCTATGGGTTTGCCCACTCTGGGCATGTCATATAAATGGAATTGTACTATGTTTGGTCTTTTGTGACTGGCTTCCTTCACTTAACATATGTTTTCAAGGTTCATCCATGTTGTAGCATATATCAGTAATTTATTCCTTTTTTTTCCAGACCGTGGCTGCACCATTTTATATTCCCACAGAAAATGTACTGGGGGCGGGGGGGAGGGTTCCAATTTCTCCACATTCTTGCCAACATTTGTTATTTTTGTTTTAAATAGAGATCCTAGTGGGTGTGAAGTATCTCATGGTTTTGACTTGCATTTCTCTATTGACTAATGATGCTGATCATTTTTTCATGTGCTTGTTGGCCATTTGTATATCTTCTTTGGAGAAATGTCTACTTGAGTCTTTTGTTTTAATTGGGTTGTCTTTTTGTTGTTGACTAGTAAGAGTTCTTTATATATTCTGGAATCCAGACCTTTAACAGACACATGATCTGCAAATATTTTCTCCCATTCTGTATATTTTTCTTTTTACTTTCTTGATAGCGTCCTTTGATGCACAGCAGCTTTAAATTTTGATGGTGTCTAATTTATCTATTTTTGCTTATACTTTTGGTGTCATATCCAAGAATCCATTGCCAAATCTAAGGTCCTGAAGTTTTACCCCTAAGAGAGTTTTAGAGTTTTTAGTACTTACATTTAGGTCTTTGATCTATTTTTTGTATGTAGTCTGAAGTAGGAGTCAACTTTTTCTTTTGCATGTGGACATTCAGTTGTCTTAGCACCATTTGCTACTATTTTCCCCCTACTGAATTATCCTGATAGCCTTTGTCGAAACCTGGTTAGCTATAAATGTATGGTTTTAATTCTGGACTCTCAATTCTATTCCATTGATCTATATATATCTATCCTTATGCCAGCAGCATACTGTCTTGATTGGTAAGTTATATAATTAGGAAGTGTGAACCCTCAACTTTGTTCTTTTTCAGGACTGTTTTGGCTATTTTGGATCCCTTGAATTTCCTAATCTCAAAAAATGGAGTCATTAAACCAGTTGCTTAGGGCAAAACCATGGTGTCACCTGAGTTTTCTCTTTGTCATACTCCAGAAGATCCTGTAGGTTCAATTTCCAACATACATCCCCAATTTGGCAACTTCTTTACCTCACAGCTATCATTATGATCCAAGTAAACATTAGACCCTGCCTGGAATACTGCAAAGTGCCTCCTGTTCACTTCTACTTTTGCTCCTGGTCCTCTACAGACTATACTTCACACAGTAGCCAGAGTTGGATTACATCACTCCCTTGCTCTCAACCGTCCTATGGCATTTCATCATATTTAGAATAAAGTGCAAAAACCCAGGTAATCTGATCACTGATCTGATCTCTCCTCTCTTTTCCTCTGTTGCTCATCCCACTGTTCTCATTATGGCTTCCCTGCTGCTGTAAGAAACATGTCAAACACTCTTGCTTTAGGAGCTTTATAGGTATTCCCTTTACCCATATTAAAGTATTTATAGATGATATGATACGCCTGAAAACTGCTTCCCCAAAATCTAGTGGGGGGTGGATGGAAGGCATGTTATAAGTGAAAAAAGATTTGTCATATGTTGATTAACTACTGAAGCTGGAAAACAGGTTCATAGGGATTCATTATACTGTTAATGAAAATTTAAAAAAGGCTCAACATAAAATCTGCTGGTAAAAACTATGTAAAAAAAAAAAGTAAAGAAAGGATACATATCAAACTACAACAGTGGTTTGGATTGGGCTGGGTCATGGATAAATTTTTTCTGAATAAAATTTCCCCACAATCTTCTACAATAAAGACGTGATGCTCAAAAAAATTGTTAGAAGGCAAAACAGCCTAATGATTAGGAGTAGAGACCTTGGGTAAATGGCAAATTCCAGATGTGGACAGGATAAGTTATAACCCTATAACCTCTTGTCATAAAAAGGAAGTGCTCAAAAATTTGATGGGCACATGCCCAAAGTTTATAGAAGACAACCTGAAGGGACTTCCACTGGTCAAATTTGGAACAATTTGAACATCAAAATGACTACCAGAAAGAATGAACTACAACACATTAAATTTAAAAAAATGAATCCAGAGCACCTGGCTGGCTCAGTTGGAGAAACATGCAAATCTTGATCTTGCAGTTGTGAATTCGAGCCCCACACTGAATGCAGAGATGACTTCAAAATAAAAAATCTTTAAAAAAAATGAATCCATGAGTTCATTCCACATTAAAAAAATACTAATAAGGGATAAGGAAAGAAAGTTCCTCTTTACAGAAGAATGTCAGCTAATCAATGTAGAAGAATGGCAGAAAAAAAAATCGTTTACTGCTATAATAATAATTAATTTAAGCAAGAATCACCAGTTGATATTAAAACCATGGGTGAATGCCTGCTTGAGAATAGAATATTCATACAGTCTCAAGGCACTACCCCATAGATGACATACTTACCACAAAAAGGGGAAAGGGTACCTTTATAGAAGAAAATCTGGTAAACACCACCTTAAAGAGAAGATCAAATTTAGCAATGCCAATAGTACAAACTGATGATCATTTGCCCCTTGATGTGATGTTATGGATTGAATGTTTGTGTCCCCCCATAATTCATAGGTTGAAATCCTAACCCTCAATGTGATAGTATTAGAAGGTGAGGCCCTTGGGTGGTGATTAGCTCATGAGAGTTGAGCCTTCATGAATGGGATTAGTGCCATCATAAGGGGCTGAAGAAACCAGAGCTCTCTCCTTTTATCACATGAGACACAGCAAAAAGTCAGCAATCTACAACCCAGAAGAAGGCTCTCTCCAGAACACAACAATGCTAGCACCCTGACCTCAGACTTCCAGTCTCCAGAACTGTGAGAAATGAATTTGTTTTTTATAAGCCACCCAGTCTGTGGTACTTTGTTAGAGCAGCCCAAAATGACCAAGACATGATGCATTTATAAGACTACAATATTCCCTGTTATATTCTTGTCAAAAATGTTCAATCTGAATATAATCATAGAAAAACATCAGACAAATCCAAACTGAGGAATACTCCCAGAGGAAAAACCAGAAAAGAGAAGATCCCGTTTTTTGTAAATAAACCCAGATAAAAGAACCAAATTAAGATTTGACCTTCCTCCCCAAACAAGAATGTGCAGTTAATTCCAAACCAGTTAACTAATAAAACAAACAATACTTTAATAAGACAGACTCTAGAATATCCACAATATTAACATTCACAATGTCCAAGATAAAACTCAAGAAACATACAAGGAGAATGAGGCAAATGTGACGTTTTCAGCTTACAGGGGTACAACAATTTGAATGATCACAGATTTCTTGTCAGAAACTATGGAGGCCAGAAGAAGGTGGAATAAAGGATTTAAAGTGCTGGAGGGGGTGCCTGGGTGGCTCAGTTGGTTAAGCGACTGCCTTCGGCTCAGGTCGTGATCCCAGGGTCCTGGGATCTAGTCCCGCATTGGGCTCCCTGCTCTGCTCTCTGTCTCTCTCAAATAAGTAAATAAATCCTTTAAAAGAATAAAAATACAGGGCGCCTGGGTGGCTCAGTTAGGCATCTGCCTTCGGCTCAGGGCATGATCCCAGGGTCCTGAGATCGAGCCTTGCATCAGGCTCCCTGCTCAGTGAGGAGCCTGCTTCTCCCTCTCCCTCTGCCGCTCCCCCTGCTCTCTTACTGTCTTTCAAATAAGTAAATAAAATCTTTAAAAAAAAATACAGATATATTAAAAGCAACTGGGAAAAAGATACAGACAAACAGTAGACATAAAAGAGGTGAAATGGCTAAAACTGTTTAGTTGTTCTATCAGATAAAATATACTTCAAGAAAAGTATTAACAGAGATAAAGTAGGAAACTAAGGAATATACTTACAAGTTGACTGCAAAATTTATATAGAAATGCAAAAGACTATAATATCCAGCAATCTTAAAAAAGAACAAGGGGAATTTTTGCTACCTGACTTCAAGACTTACTATGAAGCTACTGTAATCAAGTTATTTGTATCATTGGCATAAAGATAAACAGATCAGTGAACTATAACAGAGAACAAGACCTCACTTATATAGTCATCTAATTTTTCTAAAAAGGCAACAAAGTAATCCACTAAGAAAAGGACGTTTTTTCCACAAATGGTGCTGGAACAACTGATATTCATACAGAAGAAATAAACCTCACCCCTTACTTCACACTTTCCACAAAAATTAATTCAGAATGCAACATAAACCTAAACAGAAAACAATAGGCATAAAAGAAAAAAATTGACAAATTAAACTTCTTAAAACTTCTGCTCATCAAGACACCATTAGGAAAACAGGCAAGTCACAGACTAGAAGAAATTGTCTTTATGACATATATGTGACAAATGACTAGTATTCAGGACATATAGAGAATTCCTGTCTCAATAATAAAAAGTCAAACAAACCAAGGGCGCCTGGGTGGCTCAGCTGGTTAAGCATCCAACTCTTAATATTGGCTTAGTTATGATCTCAGGGTCATGGAGCGCTGCATCCAGCTCTGCTGCTCAGTAGGGAATCGGCTTTAGATTCTCTCTCCCTCTCCCTCTGCACCTCCCTACCTCAAATAAATAAGTAAACCTTAAAAAAAAAAAAAAAGTTCAAACAATCCAATTTACTAGCTTAGTGATTTTGACAAAGTTACTTACTTCTTTCTCCTTGGAAATGACAGAATTTAATTTTAAGGTTGCTGCAAAGATCAGATGAGACAAGGGTTAAGTATAAATACAGAAGTGCACAGTGCTTAACACAAAGCAACAGTAATAGGAAGCACTGTTATAAAGACTAGGAATATGTTACAGAACTGTGAACTTGAACTTTGTTTTTTCTAAACGAGAGAATCCTGTTTTCAAATAAAATCTCATTTGAAACCCAATATATAAAGATTCATAAAAGCAGAGTTCTGGATGAGGTAGGTGATAAAGATAGACTCTTTACCAATACTAGTCCTGGCTGCCAAGCCCTTTCCACACCTCCACAGAACCCTAGTGATCTACAGAACACATTCTGAAAAACCAATGCTGTAGAACAGGGATAGGCAAATTATGGCAAATAAATGTATTTGTATTTATAGAATAGGCAAATAAACAAATTGTTTTAGAAATAAACTCTTACTGGAACAAAGCCATCTAGTTCATTTACATATTGTCTCCAGCCACTTTTGTGCTGTAATAGCAGAGCTGTGTACCTGTGACAGAGATCTGAGTAGTTGTGACACAGACCATATGGCCTACAAAGCCTAAAATATTTATTATCTGTCCCTTTAAGAAAAGTTTGTCAACTCTGGCTTTAAAAGAGTACATTTTCAGAGGGCCTACATGCACAGCACTGTTAAGATGCTGTGGTGGGAATAAAAACGACTATGACACAGTTACTGTTAATAACAATACTAAGCTTATGAGTATAAATCATGAGTGTTTAAGTCTTAAAAAGGAACATCTTGCAGGTGTGACTCTCCTGGAAATTAAAGCCCCGCATCGGGCTCCCTGCTCAGTGGGGAGCCTGCTTCTCCCTCTCCCACTCCCCCTGCTTGTGTTCCCTCTCTCACTCTCTCTGTCAAATAAATAAATAAAATCTTTAAAAAAAAAAAAAAAGAGCCTGAGATATTAGTATCAAAAACTCTCTACAATGTATAAACCTTGCTGGAATCTGATTTCAAACAATCAGAAGACTCAAGGAGATTTGAACCCACCAAATGTTTGATGACATTAATTTTTTAGGTATAACAGAATGATGGTTAGATAGGCTTTTCTTTTAAAGAGATCGTGGGGTGCCTGGGTGGCTCAGTCGGTTGAGCATCCAACTCTCAGTTTCAGCTCAGGTCATAATCTCATGGGTCATGAGATCCAGCCCTGTGTTGGGCTCCACACTCAGCAGGGAGTCTGCTTGAAGATTCTCTCCCTCTACCTTCTAGTGCTCTCTCTCTCTCAAATAAATCTTTTTTTTTTAAAGATTTTATTTATTTACTTGAGAGAGAGAGAGAGAGAGCAGGAGAACACGAGCAGTGGAAGCAGCAGAGGGAGAGGGAGCAGCAGGCTTCCCGCAGAGCAGGGAGCCTGATGCCGGGCTTGATCCCAGGACCCTGGGATCACAACCCGAGCTGAAGTCAGTTGCTTAACCAACTGAGCCACCCAGGTGCCCTTAAAAAATAAAATAAAAAAATAAACAGATCTTATCTTTCAAGGATACTTAGTAATATAATGAAGGATATCTGGGAGCTGATTTGAAATAATCTGAGGAGAGGAATATAGACAAAACAGCAATGACCATAAGTTGATGAATGGGTGGTACACTGGGGTTCAAAGTACTACTATCCTCTCAATTTTTAGTTGAATTTTAGGTTTGTATTTAAAACACATACACATAATCCTTTTTGCAAGACAATAGTCAAAATTAGACTGGCCATTGTCTTTTGAAGAAACTGGTATGAAAGGCAGCACTAGATATAAAGAACCCAGAAAAAAACCCAAGAGGTTTCTCTCTAAAGAATCATTAATGGCAGTTATATCCAGTGCTCACATACTGTCATCAGAGCCTAAATTAAGGTAATACTAAATGTGTTTCATATAGAGAAAAAAACTCTGAACTTCTCTGAATTTTACAAGTGGCTGCTTTATCAAGGTTCTTAGAGAAGTGAAATGAATGACAAGAAGCGTAATAGAAACATATAAGCTCTTTAAAATGTTAATTATACAAAAGAAAATATATCCAAACCAATCATCCAACTTAAAAACTACACTATTCTCAAAACTGATTATCTAACTGCGTACTTCTTCTTGATCCCAACCTTTGTCTCCACCTACCTCCACCAAGAACCCTTTATTCTCAAAATTATATTATCATTAGTTTGTTCTTATAGAAACACAGTTTTAATATAAATTCTTAAAACAATATATTGACTATCATATTTAAATTTAATATTCTGAATCTTGTTTTTTTTTTTAAATCTGAACATTCCTGGATAATTCTTTGAAGTACAAGCTTTTTAATTAAGGCTGATTGTGTAAAATAATAATAATAATAATAAAGCTGATTGTATAGCCCAGATCCTGCCACTTTCTAGGTATGCAATATTGCAGAAATTATTTTCCTGTCAAGCCTCAGTTTCCTCTTCTATAAAAGTGGAATAATACTGTTTCAGAGATTGTTATGAGAATTAAAGCAAAATATACAAAAAGCACAGTTCCTGGCATATAGCAGGTACTCATAAATGGTAGCTCTTATTGGTTGATATTAGGTATGCTTTGTAAAGACCTGGCAAATTAAATCCTTTTACTTAATGGAAAAATAGTATCTTGCTATCAAGTGTTTCCTTTATATTATGCCCTTAGACTCCTTAAGTAACAAGTCAGTCTGTGAATGGACAATTTCCACAGCCACCACCAGAAGTAATTCTGATAGTTCATCTGATCCTTTCACTTTGCACACACACTTTTCAGAGGTGACTTATGTCATATCAACTCTGTTCACTAGGAAATAGTCTGAATCC